ATATTCATAGAGAAATCATGATTCTGTTTACAAAAAGAAACTTGTTCATACAATAGTTTCTACTTTTCTCTTGAATTTATATATATATATATATATGTCGGTGGCATAGCGGTTAGGACGCTCGCCGACCATGCACATGGTCCGGGGTTCTATCCCCGGCCGGCGCACTCCTTTACCTGTAGAGAAATAATGCTGGTGAAGAGGAAAGGTTGGGCATGAGACTAGCAACCCCATCCTGTAAAATAAACACTGCTACAGAAACTTCAAGCCCCTAGCTTGAAGCCCTATGTTCCACTGGGAACGTAAGGAATTATATATATATATATATATATATATATATATATATATAACAACTATCTTTCACCTAATCTTCACAAGTACTTTTCTTCCCATCACTAGGAACTTCAAAATTACTGTCATTGAATGACTGGTTTCAACAAAGAACTTAGCACAAAGATGTATCTATTCGAGTTGCCACACTCCATGTAGTACGAAAAGGAAGACAAAAGAGAGAAAAAATAGATTGAAAAGAATGATGGTAAGGAGAAGTGTGAACGAGAAAGAGTAGTAACAAGGAAAAACATTAGGGTCTATTAGATCTGGGAAATCACAATGCGTGAATGTATCTGAGCCATTCACAACGATTTCGACCCATATCACTAATTGTCCCTAGCCATTAGTTCTTAGCATCCCAAGGACCTCAACCAGGAAGCCTGTCTGTTTTCAACATAGAACTTTGCACATATGTGCGGCAGTTCAAGTCGCCACACTCCATGTAGCACACAAAGCAAGAGAAGAAAGTAGGAGAAATGCATATTACAGACAGTAAACAGAGGAATAGTAATAACGAAGAACAAAACAGTTTCATTGGAAATCATAAGTCACAAGAAGTGGATGCATCTGCGCCAACCATTGAGAACGATTTTGAGCCATATCACCAATTGTCCCCAGTTACTGGTTCTTACCATCCTGAGGACCCCAACCAGGAAGTCTACACCTTCCTACGTGGCCTAGACTAGCTGTTGTAGATTTCATTGACTGGTGCCATGTTTTCTTTTGACCGCCGCTAGCTCTTTTCCAGCCTGGCCCTATATCAGCTAACATTGCCCGTCGAGGAAGGCGATGACTAGGCATACGTAACACATGTCCTAACCATCTCAGTCGATGTAATTTCACAGCCTCGTCGATTGACTTCCCCTCCTTACCTATCACTCGACGCCTAACCTCAATATTGCTCACTTTATTATACCACTTAACACGGTAGATAGAACGCAGGCACCTATGATCAAAGGCAGCTAGCTAGCCTTTTCATGTTTTCCACTTTCAATGGCCATGTCACACAGCCATAAAGGAGGACGGAGCGGACTGTTGGGCAGTACACACGCCCTTAGGTCGATAGTCGGATATCACGTCTACGCCAGACACGGCGTAAACTGGCATATGCGAAGGAAGCCTACACCTACCTATGTGGCTCAAACCAACTGTCAAAGATTTCACGGACTGATTCTAAGTTTTGGTTTGACCACCATTAGCTCTTTTCCAACCTGATCCTATGTCAGTTAAGTTCAAATGCTTCGCCTTGGTCACACCTTATATATATAAAGAAATGATTCACAAGGCATTATGCAATTTTATATCGAAAACCATTTAATTCTCTTGATTTTGAAATACTCTTTTGTGAATAGTTTTCATTAGTCATTAACACTTGTAATTTTATCATATCATTCGATCTTCATGAAACACGATTTATTGTCTATTAACTCTAACCACACTGAACTGAATAATGCTTTAGCATTGTTGCAGAAAATGTATAAAATTACGGTTGTATAGCTGCAGAGAATAAAATCGCAAATAAAAAAAGAAATAAGATTTCTTAGATAAACTTCCTATTTCCTATGACAACAACAGCAACAACAACAATTTAGGGAAAAACAATTTCCGCTATAGTCTAACTAAATACAAAATTATAAGACAATAGAGGAGTGTCTAAGGGCTATTATATACACATACTTAATTGTAACCAGACTTCTATGTGTTATACACTATATATTTTGTAAGTACTGAAAATTGGATGAACAACAGTCACTAGCATACTAGTAGTTTCAGTTTGCCATTGGTGTTGTAGACAATAGCCATGTAGAACAGTGTTTGATTTACCTATGTAACTGGTCTAAATCGTACTTCACCTACCATATTTTATAGCGTGACGTGTTATTGTCAAAGTTACACGGATAAAGATATATTTTCTGAGTTGCATTGCATGGTGACCTATGAAGTCAACCGAGTAGAAACTCAGAATGAATGAATTATTTAAGTATAATAGTGATATATTGCAAATCGACTGAAGAGAGGAAACATGGACTTTCCTTGAATGACAAGATTTAACGTCTATATATATATATATATATATATATATATATATATATATACTGACATTAATATTGTTTTCAATTAGATTTCATCAGGCTGAACTCTAATATATCCCTCCCTTGGCCTATGAAGACATAACCAACTGATGACTTCTTCATCACCCTTTACTTATATTTACAACCCCTCTCTTACTATCCCCTAATCTTATCACATCTTCATTAAAACGTATTTTACTTACTTCCCTTACAATCTAGCATTACTTAATCGGTTCATTTATTTTTCTTAGCCTCTATCGACTACTACGTTTACCTTAACATTTGTTTGTTCAGTCATGCTGTTTTTCGTTATTCTTGTAATCACAGATCGCCTCACTTTTTCATTCTTGTTATTGATAGAACCATTATTATTATCACTAGTATTATGACTAATTACACAATCTTATTATCCTATTTACAAAACACCGCGATTAGTTTATATCTGAATTTTATTTGCAAAGTTACGTGTATTAGATTTAAGCCTGATGAGATCTAATTGAAAACAGTTTTGTTCGCTTAAATGTGTTGTTCTAAATACATATATCCATCACATTTAAGATGCATTTGTTCATAGAAAAGATGTTGCAGATTATATGGGGAGATTTGAGGAGAAACAAGATAGTGGAAGCAATAATATTCATCTTTCATTGTTTACCAGATGATATCAGTTCACAAATAAAAATCGACATGGAATCAGTTCATTATAAATACGATCAAGTAATTAAAGGATTATGTATCAGCACTTTCTTAGAGAGATGGTGATGCGTTCTATGGCTTTTGATAAAACTCAGTGGAGTAGAGATGAATTTAAGTAGAATGACCCATTTAGCAAGAAGCATGCGTTGTGATCCTTAATGATATGCATCAATATGTAAATAAGATTATGGGCGATCGTGAACCCAGATGAAGAGGACAACACAAAACTGGACAAAGTGATGTGTTGTTGATACCCTATCTTCCACTAGGAACCCAAGGGAACGGTAATAATAATAATAATTTAAATAACTTAACATGTATACTAACAAGGACCAGTTGAACAGGTTCAATAAAGTAAAATAAGTAATGTGGTATCACAGGTGGCTTTCAGGGGGACAAAATGAAGATTCATCTATGGGATGACGATTTATCCTGAGTCATATTATCCAATGTCTAAAAAATTATTGACTTTGGTTATTTCATAGAACAAATTTAAAACTCTACATTACAACATACAATTCTTAATAATTAGGAAAGATTTAACTTTTTTCCTGATATTACATTCTTCTAAAACGTGTTTATTTTTATTTTACTTCCAATACCCTACATTAATTCACAAGTGAAGTGGTCCAAAACTAATATAACTAATTGTTCAAACTGAACTATGTATAATACGCCCAGCATATAACCAATTTAAACTCACACAGCAGTATTTCTAACTTTCCTAAAAATAGAGAATAATGGCAATATTGTTAGTATTGTGAATTGTGTACGCTAATCCTTTCAAAGCATATACTACATTAGTTAACGAAGGAATACAGATAATTGTAAACACAAACTAGTAAAGAAAGCCTACGCAAACTAGTGGTTTTCGTTAAACTTCTCTACATTTATAATTCATAAAATTAGTCTTTACAGAAAGTATGTGAAAACATTTTTTTTTGTTATATCATATAATTAACTATATTGTTAGACGTTTAGTTAAATTTAATTATATACATAATTTCCAAGATAATATATTAGTTTCACAGTGGGAAAAATAACATTTCAGAACTATTTCCTCGCTTGATGAAATCAGTTATTAGTACTATTTATTTGTTTGCTTTGATTCTATACTATCATCAGTCTGTCCAAAAAGTTAGCTACATTTCAAGCTGTTTGAATTGATTCATCTATCTGCGTTGAAAGAAAACAGGATACACCATTGATGAGCTCAACGATAAACGAGAAAAACAGACTTTTCAAGTCAACGTCATATCCATCCATTCGCCTTGTAATTGCTACTGTGATTGATGTTTTGTTCACAACTATTCATATTAGTCAGTAATATATATATACATATGGCAGGGACAGTTTCTTTTCCTTAAAGTAATACATTCTTCATTTTATCAGTACACATAGAACAAAGCTGATAGAAAACCAACATGAAAATATACATTTTGCTAATATTGGGAGTCATAATAAAGGTGCATCAACAGATTAGGTGATTAAACCTTTTCATTCGGGAAATATTAATTACTGTTTATCTAAAAAATCAACATCAGCTAATACAACTGGAACATTTCAGGTTATTTGATGAGAGCACTGTACAACGTCAAAACTTATCAAACTATAATTCAGATAATATTGGGAGAAGATATGCATCAGTACAGAATATCCCCGCATAAGTAGTATGATTATAATGATAACTGTGAAACAACTGACATAAAATACACTATGAATTGTATCATATTATTGACCCAAATGGCCCAAATTCATAGCCGCTAATTAAATTGATGTCGGTGATGCATAAAAAGTAAATGATTATTTATAGTAGTGAAAACAGTTCTTCATTGAAAGTTTTTATTTTTATTTCCATTGATAACATTAAATTTTGTTATCTCAAAGTAGTAGACTTACATCGGGTAGAAATGGTGCTTCTTCGAGACCAGCCTCTAAACGGACCCAATTAATACCGTGAAACCAAGGGTGATATTTAACACCATCAGAACCAGCATCATCACAACCAAGTCGATAACGGGGATCTTTTTGTAAAAGCTTTGAACACAATATTTTAATTAAATCAATGTGTTAATATAATTCAAAAGATTAAATTTTAAGATAAATACAAGATAAGCACATTTCTAGTTAGTAGCCATGTAACAATATTTGTACTGACTAACCGACTGAGTTTCAGCATATAACGTGGCACGGAAGTGCAGTGTCATACCATGTTGCACACAAAGGTACACAAAAGAGACAGAAAAGAACTAAAATAAGCAGAAATTTGAGCGAGAAGGAATGGTAACATGAAAAAAAACATGACAGTTTAGTGGATATGAGAGATCGCAAAGAGTGAATGCATCTGCGCTATTCACAACGATTTTGAGCCATATGACCAACACTCTCCAACCACTGGTTCTTGGGATTCCAAAGACCCCGGCCAGGCAGCTAACACCTCCCTACGTGCCTCAAACCACCTGGCAAAGACCTCATGACAGTTCCAGGTTTTGGTTTGACTGCCCCCCCCCGGACTCTTTTTTAACCCAGCCCTATACCAGCTAACATTGCCCGTCGAGGAGGGTAGTGGCCCAGCATGCGCAGTACATGTCTTAGTCATCTCAATCGACTCACCTTCACAACCTTATCCATTGACTTAGCCTTCTTACCTAACCCTCGACGTCTAACCTAAATACTGGTAACCATATTATACCATTTAACACGGGAGACAGAACTCAAACATCGATGGTCGAAGACAGCTAGCTATTTCATATCTTCCACTTTCAAGGTTCCTGTCTCACAACCATAAGGTAGGACGGAGCTAACTGTTGAGCAGTAAACACGTCCTTTGATCGATAGCCGGATATCACGTCTACGCCAAAGATGGTGTGAGTTGACAAACGTCACATAAGCTTTTTGTATCCGTACTGAGATTTCGTAAGCAATCAGTCCATTAAGGTTGATGTAACTTCCCAAATAAGTGAAGTGGTCAACACGCTCTATTAATTCACTACCTGTCCGTAAGCGAGAGGTCAGTGCGATCCACTCCTGCAGCATCATCTTACATTTGACAGAAGATAATTGCATGCCAAACATTAGAAGACTTCTACTCAAGATGTTCAGAAAACTCCACATTTTATCAGTGTCTTGACTTAGGCGGACAATACCATCTACATACTCCAAGTTAACAAGACTGCTTCCTGGTAACAAATCAATCCCTAGGTCAATTCTAGTAGTACATCTATGATGACACTATATAAAACTGGGGATAGTGGGCATCCCCGACGGACAACGCTGGTTATCACTATTTCAAATGTCAATTATGCATTAGCATTGATTGACAAAGCTACATGAGTTCGAGTAGAGTGCCTTAATTAGTGCGACATACTTTCTCGCCACTCCCTTCACGATCAAACATTGTCACAGCATTTCTCGGTCAACAGAACCGAATGCTGCCTTCAAGTCAATAAATATGGTAAGTGTTAGATACCGGCAAGTATGCCTATGTTCCAGAATCTGTCAAGGGGTGAAGATATGTTCAATACATCCTCTTTCTGGCCTAAAGCCTAACTCGTTTTCCCGGGTTTGTTTCTCCACTTAGTCTGCTCGTGATTATTGGACCTAGAACTTTAGATACTATATTAGTCAAGCTTATCCCTCTATAATATCACAGGAAGACTTCTATAATATTTGTACTAGGTAGTGAGCTACATTTATCGCTTAAAGGCGTATTCAGGCTACTGGACTAGCATATAATACTTTACATGAACTAAAATCCTATGAATAACTTCGCTAATTGCTTAAAAATCAACCCAAATTGCATCATAGAAATTTTTTTACATTTGCTAAGAGATAGGCAATAGAAAGAATCACACTTAAGTTAACGTCTGAACTATGAAGCACAACTTTTGAGGCATTTATTTTCTAGAATTATTCTATAGTACGTTTTAAACGATTTCCTTTAAGTTATTAATTATCGCTCTATGCCTTGAAGCACAGAAATAATTGTCCTTAAACCCTAATGCTATTAAAATCATTTTCAGCTTGTTGATTCATACATAGACTAGCAAGTTGTATTTTCTCTAATATGGATAGCACCTAAAACTAAGATGCACGTCTCATCTTATTTGCAAATCATTAACTTGGTGTGTTTGGAATCCAAAGCGTAGCATTCGTATTGACACCTGAATAAAGTGTTTTCCTTCTCAAACTCAAAGGTCTTGTTCACAAAGGTACTGAAAGAACATGCGTTTAAAATTCCATTGCTGGCTACCACTAATCAAATATCAAAACATAAGTGAAGGTAGTATTCCCGAATACTTATCAAAAAACTTGCAAACTTCTTTAGTATCCGTTATCTTTCAAGCTCCACTTTGACGCATTTAATTTAAGGGTAGCAACTTGGATCGGTATGCTTTTCCTCAAAACAGTATAATTTTAATGCGTGTCATGAGGAAAACGCCTACAACAAAGTCTACATAGATCACCGTATTACAAAGTACCATAAGATGACCATTTTAAAAAGAATTAGGCAGGGATCTGAATACGTTGATTGGACAACTAGTTCGTAACTAGTGTCATGTGTCTAGTCCTTTTGCTTGGTGCAGACTGAATTCTGTCAGTCAAGTTTGCAATATGGCTACCATGCTAGGTGACTCACCATCACGGTGCACTTAGAGTTGTTGTTATTAGGTAATTGGAGGCAATCGGCAAGAAGCCTTGGACCTAGGTTTCGTGGTTTTTGATGCTAACCAGTCAGCAAGGTGTACCTGCATTCTCGAAGAAATTCATGTCCCCTCTGAGATTCGAACCCGGTGACATCAATCGCGAGCCCGAATAGATCAGTGATAACGTCACTGATTGCATCACTCACTGGGTGGCACGTGTCCGAATCTCACAAGGGACATGATTTCCTCCATGACTGCATAAATACCTTTCTGATGAGTGCCAACAAGCACGAAACCTAGGTTTAAGGCTTCCTGCCGATTGCCTCCGACCATTCAGGGATCTCATTATCTTGGAATGAGGCTCTGAACAGAGACAGAAACAGCATTTCCAGAGTGAAGTTTAAAGAATTACTTTTTTGTTTAACTACAGAATGTATAAAATGCTTTATAACAGCTATCTAAAATTTGTTATACTACATTCATGTTTTCTATTGCCAGTCTTAACACCAGGTAGAAACGTCACAGGATAACTACTACACTATGAATGAATAACTCTATTAATTGTCAATCATTATTGTACGAAAAATCGTGATTACTTATTTGTTTGTTTTTTTCCAAAAAAACTGCGAGAATAATTACGCGTAAAATTAAACAAAGGAAATCCGGAGAAATTTGGTATGCTAAGCATAAAAGGAGAGGAGAAAAAATTAACAAAATGACAGATTGCGTGCACAAGCACGCACACACGTAATGTCTTAGCAACTTACCGATTGACAGAAATTTTTAGAATTCTCAGAAAATTTACTATTATACTCTTCATTATCTTCACATACACGACGATCCACTTCTTCACGTCGAATTCGTTCCTTTCGCCTACGGAATGGCGCTTGTCCCATTATCATCTCATACACAATACAGCCTAATCCAAACCAATCAGGACTGAATGTATACGGTGTGTTCATGACTACTTCAGGTGCTGTAGAAATAAGTAGACAAATATTGGAGTTTAAGGAGACAAAAAAGAAAACAAATAAGGAAAAAGGCTAACACTTGTAAATTAATAGTCACCTAGAGGAAGTATGTCAATAAAAGGCATAACAATACCCCTTATAATTAATGGTTGATACACAAAACAGGTTTTATAATGATCACATTGAGCAATCTGTCACTGCATTTACTAATTATACAAATGAATATTTTAAAATATAACCAGAATAAATTTTAAAACATAAACTAGAAAATTCACACGTTAATACCAAGTCATCATCACTTGACTAATGGTAGAGGGTACCACTCAATCATATAATAGTGAGATATTACACAGTGTAAATTTACAATAGTTGATAAACTTTGCCTATAAACATTGTACAATTAAGCTCAGATGTAAACATTTATGGATGAAGTAAGCGAGGTAGATTTCAGTGCTAATCTAGAGTATCATTTGACAGACAGATGGGTAGGCAGATGCATGAACGACGATGAAATAAGACCCAACCCGATAACTACTTGCTATTGCATGCAGTTGGCAATGAGCCACACCTATTATGTGAGGGCTAGTGAACTACCTGGCTGCCCAAACCTGAGCAGGTGGAGCGGGGTTGGAACCCGTGACCCAGCGGTTGGAAGTCGAGTGCCTAAACCAATGAGCTACAGCTCCACATAAAGTAATGTGGTGAGAGCTGGCTGCTAGCCAAATTGGTAGATGGTAATTTACGTCAATGTTTACGTCCTCAATATTGGTCATGAGAAAAATATGAACAAAGACTGATTCAACAACCAACCACAGCAGACTTTGCGTAGGCGGATACAGTTAACATATAGATGATCTGACATTCAAGAAACAGCCACAAAGAGATGAAAGATTAACTTTCAGTGAGAAACAACCAATCAGAAGACTGTGTTTTTCTGCTAACAATAATCTATAATAATGTACATGAAAAGCTATAAATATGTGTTGATTTCCTTAATAAACGATCTGTAGCCTGACTCTTGCCTTCTGTCGTTACAGTAAGACAAAATTAAAAAGTGTACAATGATACAAAAGGTGGAGAAATAAAATGTCCAGTGACAAAAATCCTTTTTAAAAAATCAAAGATATAGAATGTTAGAACACAAAACAGTCAACAATCCATACTTAGAATGGCCAAACCGTTCTTGTAGTACTCTTATGACGCTAAAACGTGCCGCTATACATCATTTATGGGAGGAATGAAGACGTGAAAAAGCCTTAAAATGTTTAATTGTACTTTTTATTATTATATCTTTTATACAACTATATCAATCACGACAACAAATATTTTGTATTTCCCACCCATGACTTATTTCAAATTTCAGATGTTTAAATTCTAACACTATATACATATTCACCCAACTATAAAAATCGGATGGATTGAAAGTGAAATATTGAGACTTCTAAGAATAGATAACAGTGTATTCAGAAAATCATGGGAACATACCATTTTAAATTTTAAGGGTGTATAATATAAACAAAATGCATAACTTGTAATAAGTACACATCACATATAACAGATGAGAGAGAGAGAGCTTGTAATCGGTATGTAATTATCAGCTATATCGACTATCGAACTATGATATCCAAAGCTGTCATTGCAATACTCAAACTATCATGACAAAAAGAGAAGATATATAGGAGAGGATCAAGACTAAGCACATCGTCACATTACCCAGTGAAGAAGTCGAATATCAGCAAGTGTATTTTAGTAGGAAGCCTTAAAATTAACACCTCAGCAGTAGCAGACAGATTAAACAATAGCAACCAATTTTTATTCTAGTATTCAGATCATTTACTCGAAAATAATCACGCTGCACAGCAAAACATGAATAAAACTAGGTTAAAATCACACTTTAAGATAAGGTAGAATATCTGGATAAAGTGTGTAAAAGACTGACTACGATAAACTGTGATGTATGCCAGTGCTAAGACTACTGTTAGGGCAAGTAACAATCGGACAAAAGGATTGCAAATATAACGTAGATGTTGAAACAAACGTTTTAATATTCCAACACAAGACCAAATTGATAAACGTCAAGCCCGAAAACGCATTCTGGAACACTATTTGACTTGACTAGCCAGAGAAGAAAAGAAGAATACTAGCAGCTCCATCCCCGAACACCTTGTCAACTCTGGACATCGAGCACCACCACAAGAATGCTTCGCAGTGCTACACAGAATTCCTCAGTATTGTACGAAAGGACTTCAAATACGCCATCTGTGCAACGCTGAATCATTCTATCTCTGATGTCAAATCTATCTCCCTGCCATTCGACGTTTTCATGCTGACGAAAGTCTCTTTATATACTACTGATAAATCTTATCAGTAGCACACGCCGCACCACTAGTTCTTGTCCACTCTACACAATTATACTGATTAGTCATTTTCTAACACACTTACTACGTCATCCCAACTTCTGCCTCTTTCCTAATTTCCAATTAGTCACTCCTTCTAGATTACACCTTACATTACGTAATGCATTTTCGAGGACAAATTTTACGAGTATTTGATTAGTCTCATGAATTTTTTGTTAAATATAATTATGATTGTACAGCTTATGAGAATGAATCGTCGAAAAGAAAATTTTCTTCTATGTTAACATCTTTTTCGTAAGAAAGTGATAAATGTTCAGTACTTTTTATGTAACTACTCTTGATTGATAACTCCATACAAAAAGGACAACATTGATACAAAGAAAGGATCATTGATGAGTAAGAAAATAATCTTGTAAAATGACAGGATAAGTATCGCTTGTCATGTGATGTATGAAACCAGTCAACGGACTATTTAAAGAATATAACCGGCGAAACTAATATTTCACGCAGAGATTAATGACTTCACTACACATCTAGAAATTTCAAAAAATAATGGTTCTCTAACCAATGTCAGCTCATGATGAAATCCTGTAACCAATCAAGCAAATCCCTACAAACCAATACTTGAATATGAATGAGATGCTCACTGGCGACTGGCCCTATTCAGGTAGGTAGTTACCTGGGGTTCCAGTGGGAAGTCGTGACCAGTAGGGTGCAGAAGGTCGGGTGTGAGGACAAATACCCGCCGAAGACATTTGGTAGCGGCTGCGCAGAAGTTAGAATTCATGGGCCATTGGATCGGGCCCCAGTGGCTTAATGGTATACGAGCTCGCCTTGTAACTAGAAGGTCCTGGGTTCAAACCCCGGTGGGTGCGTACTGATGAAGAGTCCCAAACTGGGACGAAACAGCTGTCCAGTACTCCAATGGTTCTCTAACCAATGTCATCTCATGATGAAATCCTGTAACCAATCAACCAAATCCCTACAAACCAATACTTGAAAAAATAATGACTTTAACTTGTAATAAGTTAGAAGACAGCTCTCATTATTGCATAAAAACTTCGTGAGTAGTGAATATGAAAAATAAAAGCATGTTGAATTTCAAAACAGCAGCATAACAGTAATGTAACATGATAGGATAAGAAACAAACAATTAAACATGAAAATATACTCAGAGATGTTGTTCTATGAGATAGTCTCTAATGAAACTAAAGTTACCACATTTAGTACCAACTGGCAAAGGGAAAATGATCAAGCATATTTTCATTGTTGAGTATTCATTTATTATCACCTGTTATTTTTCATAAAAAGTAAGAGGTTCTCATTCAAAGATATCGCCAACAAACTTAAAAAGTAACACCTTACGACAATGACTACAGATCAGTGCACTAAACATGTGCATTTAAGGTGTGCCATAAATGAACGGACTAATTGATATTCAGTATGTAATTTATGCGACTTTTTGTTTGTGTTTCTGTATATGCCTTTTTTACCCTCAGAGATTGACTGATTAAATATTTTTCAAACATGTTTGATGACAATGGCTGTTTAAAGCAGACTTTAAAGTGTATACAAAATTTATTTAGTATTTGGAAGTATAAAAGATTATCAAAAAGAATAATAACAGTTAAGCAAGTATTCATCAACCTTATTCAACAGCTGTAAGACAACGGCACATGTCAAGTGATCCACAACGGAAAACTCAGCGAGGCGTTTGGAGTAAACACAGGAGTCAGACAAGGGTGCTTATTATCACCAATGATATTCCTAATTGTGGTGGACTGGATTATGCGTCAGACAATGGTGGGAAACGAGAAGACAGGGATATCCTGGACCGACGTGAAGAACCTAGAAGACCTGGATTTCGCGGGTGGATGATTTATGTTTGATGTCACACAAAATCGAAGACTTACAAGCGAAAACCGACAAACTGGTCGAAGAAGCAGCCAGAGAAGACAGGACTCCAGGTGAACATAGACAAGACAGAGGTTATGAAAATAACCAACCAACAACAACAACAACAGCAGCAGCAACATCCAGCGCCAATCACCATCAACGGGAGGGATTTGAAAGAGGTTACTTCATTCACTTATCTAGGGAGCATTGTCTCAACTACAGGAGGAACGGACGAGGATGTCAAATCGAGAATCGGGAAGGCGAGAAACACATTCATCAACCTGAAACCAATCTGGAAATCTTCGTCACTCAGCATCAACAACAAAATTCGGATTTTCAATACAAACGTCAAGTCAGTTCTTCTATACGGATCAGAAACTTGGCGGGTCACAAAGAATATTTCCAACAGGTTGCAGACCTTTATCAACAGCTGTCTTCGTTCTATACTCAAGATCAGATGGCCGGAAAGAATCACCAACAAGAAACTATGGGAACAAACAAAACAAGAACCAATCGCCCAACAAATATGCAGGAGAAAGTGGAGATGGATTGGACACTCGCTGAGGAGGCCGCTGGGTGACATCGCGCGTCAGGCCATTGTTCGAGTGGAACGTGAAAGGGAAGCGGCGAGTGGGACGTCACAAGGGTGACATGGAGGAGATCGTGTGAAGAGGAGTTGAAACAGTATGGACTAACATGGATGCAAGTGAAAAGTACGGCAGAAGATAGAAGCAAGTGGAGACGTGCAGTTGAAGCAGTATGTTCCACTAGGAACCCAAGGGAATAATAATAATAAGAAGAAGAGAGAACACTTGATTTTATGACTAGTTAGCTCATAGTGGATGAGAAGATCAACGTTAACAACTTAATAAAATATGATAATTATAAGACATTTTTAGTACTACTATCTGCATACACTACATGGATGGAAAACTCCATTTTGATCCGGCTAGCCTTATCCGTCAAAAAGTAATACAGTGAAAAAGATTAATAAGACTGAAAAACGTCCAAGAACCTGTACTCACCCATATAACCAGATGTCCCTACTCTTCCTTTAGCTGTACCTCCAGGTTTAATATACACGGCTAGTCCAAGATCCGATATTCTGACATGTCCTGTAAAAAACAGCGTTTAAAAATAATAAAAATAGATTTATATATATATATATATATATCGAAATTGAGTATAATTTAATAGGCATATAAAACCTTTTTGAGTTCTAAATGTACCAAATATGTTGTGAACAACGGCGAAAATACACTAATCCAATTTCATATAAGTGCCAATTAACATTCATTTACAGTGAATATCTAGTTAGTCAATGAAATATAATTTATTCATCTGGGATTAATGAATTAATAAAGTATTAGGAATATCAATACTAGCAAAAGTCGCGCACAAATTCAATTTCAACAAAATACACTATTATTGTAAACCATGCTAGTTGTAAAGTGATTGTAGAGAAACTACGAAATATGATATCATCTCACGAAATTGGTCTTCTAAATGCCTTATTCACATTTATCAAAGGGACTTATTGTTTGACAATACACTGTGGTTCTCTCTGAGTCTATCACTCTTCACGTGCGGAGTGTTTTCACAAGTGAGAGGGCGAAAGCGGATGCCGCCTCTTCACCGGCTTGACTGTCCATTGGATGACAGTCTAGGGGAGATGGCTAAACCCTGATTCCAAACCTCCAACGACTGGCGTATGAAGCTACTGCAGCTCACCGGCAGACGTATGGACAAAGGCTTGTTGATTAGTTGCCCATCAAAAGTATGAACCGAACTCGTACGGCTGCAATGGATAGTGACTCCTACTCCACTCCTACTGCCTTGTAGGTCACACTTGTTGTGTAAAGGCTAGAGCTGCACTCTCAAACAAAAGGCCGAGCGATACTGGGGACATCACTCGTACCAAATTCCCATGAAACTTCATGAACTCTCTTACAAACGTGGTACAGTCAAGGCTGATATGGAGTGCCTGGGGCTACAAACCGTCTACGGACTCCGTCTGTGGAACAAGAATTGGAAAACCCTGTCGCAAAACCTTGCGTCAGATCGCCGTGCCTGGGCAGCGATGATTCGAGATGTTCATGAAGCCGGCTCATCTCCATAGAATAGCAAGATGTGGTTGGTTTAACGTCAGTAGTTGTGACAAATGACATTCTAACATATGACAATAAACGGTATGAACATTCCTAAGTTCACCTATATCAGACAGTAAGTTTCTATGCTTAAAAAGTTATAATACTAGACATTCGTAAGTTGGGTGAATGGATAGTGAGATACAGAAACGGATAGACAGATTGATAAACAATACGATTACGTATCAATCTGAGGTGCTACACTCTGGATCAACACACTCACAAAAAGTCAAGGATAAGATGTAGGAAGAACAGTGGCTAACAGCTATATAATCATTCAAGAAAACGAGCAAAACAGAGAAAAAAATGAAACAAGATAATCATATTTTTATATATAAGGCTTTAAAATTAGTCTGAAAATAGGTTACGTCTGAGTCGTGTGAAAGAGATCGATACTATATCAAATAGTGTAAAGTTTCTAAACGTTCATTTTAATTTAATTGAATTTTAGATTTTCCCGTCGATTGATTGGACCGAAGTGCTCGGTTGCAGGTTGACATGTCGGCTTCTTGAGCAGATGCTTCGACAATGTCTGGGCATTTAATTAGCATTTAATTGATGGACGGGAAAATTTAAAATTCAATTAAATCAATATGACCCGTTGCACAAGAGGCGGCTCTCGTGGCCCAAGTGGTCTAGTGGATGACGCTTTGGCGTTTGAAACTATGGGCACTGGGTTCAAGCCTCGGTGGGAACATCACCACTAGATGAGAAATGCAGGTACATCCAGATGACGAGTCCCGAATAGGACGAAATGCGCATCCTGGATTCCACTGCTAGTGACCATCCACCAATTAAAGTTCATTTTAATTGTCTCATCAAATTAAACCGATAGACAGAGACTTTATATCTTGATTTAACCAGCTTTTATTCCTTTCCAATATAGTCTTACCACTGTCGACTTACGTAACACATACACCCACCAAATAAAAAAGTGGTGATTAAATGCTAAACATGAGAAAAAGCCCAGTAACTATTCGAATCAAGAAATTTACGTCACCTCAGTGGAGCATCACTCATCACCTCATCACTCGAAACCCTAGATTTCATTCTCTTAGTGATGACAAGTTGACTTTGATTTAATAAAACCTTCAATACGTTTATAAATGCTTATAAGATAACTATTAAATTGTTTTCACACTTATGAGTACCAGAAAACACACAGACGTTAAATGGTTTAATTTAAACTTCTGAAGCTCTGAGTGTAATTTCTAATAAAGTTCTTACATTGACACTGAAAAGTTGGAGAGAATGGGGCAGACTCAAGAAACTAATCACTTCCAGATGCTGCAATATATATGTATTTTTATTTACACATCTAACTGATAAATGAAAACTTACGAGCACAACGGTATGCTGATAAAGATGAACCGTGTAAACATAAGGCATAAATCAAATTAACCAATTTACACAATAACTCTCTGAGTATGCTTATCTGATAAAACACGTTTTGGGTATCCATAAACGTATTACCTTTCAGTAAACAATAATATTTTCCCTGTGTGTTTTATCACGTAAATATATGTATGAAGTCATCCCCTGTGATAGCATTTAAATTTCTCCTGCTACATTATTGCCCACTTATCTACTACTGAATGTAAGGCTATACAATAAGTGAAAAACATGTTCATACAAGAATATAGTAAAAAAAATATAATCCGAGAGATGTAAAAATTGATTTTAAAAACCTTGAAAGTATCACAAGTGTTTAACTTCCAGTGTTTTTTGTTTTTGTTTTCGTTTTTTCATTTGCATCATCTAGTCAGGGAAATTGGTTATTTAAATCAACTGCAAAGTGTCCCTACATATATTTTAATCACTAAATGATCTGTTCCAAAGCCTTGTGACTATCTTTAAACAAACCTAGGTTGGAATTTCAACAAATACTCAATCAATGTATACCAAACAAATAGTCAAGGTTATTGTGTCAACTAATCTTCCTAAGTTCTACTTCACCTAACTGTTATCTATCTATTTTTCTTCTAAGCCAAATAAGCAATAGAAGCATAGAAAATAAAATACCCCAACAACCTAGTCACTCAACAAAAGTGAAAACAAGTAATACACTTTACACAGCTAGTTTGTCTTTGCAAAGCGTACTTTCACTAGCTGATATCTTTTATATCAATCCTACTAATAAATATTTTGCACAAGTGAGGAATATAAAACTGTCATAAAAGTTTCATACTCCCATTTAGACAGATGTACAAGTGAATTCGATGATTTTACGAACAAAAGATAATTTAAACACATTTATAGGCAGTTAAAGCTGTAATACATCATAATGTTCATCTTTCCCAATTCTATTCGTTTGTTTAATTCTATTGTAAGAAACAGACTTGACGCTTAAAGCTAGAGTTAAGTAAATCGAATCATTTTCTACTTTATATAGTGTTAGCGGAAGTAAAGTCAGTTTGGAGGAAACTCAGATTTGGTATTGACTTGCAGATTTAAGCTACTTTACTAACATTTTTGGGATATTTGGCAAAAAACAACCTACATAAAACTGTGAATTGTTGGTATTAGATGGATGGAGGCAATCGGCAGGAAGCCTTCCAACTAGGTTTCGTGCTAGTTGGCACTCATCATCAAGGCGTATCTGTAACCTCGAAGGAACTCATGTCCCTTCTGAGATTTGAACCAGCATCACCCAGTGTTGTTACCACTGAGCTATTCAGGCTCGCGATTGACCTCCTTACATGTTGGCTACACAGGTGCAGACTTATTCAAACGTTTGTTTATCAGCAAACACAACAGCTACTTGACACCTATTTGTTCTACATTATATGCTAAACTATGTTATAAGAAATGCTTACAAAACATTTTTAAATCTCAATAGTTCGAACAGGTATCAGTGGTCCAAAAATTGTTTCTGAAAACATTACTCTTAACTTTTTGAAAGGTCTAGTTCGACTACAAATTTTAGATTTAAGATATTTATTCATTTCTATTCAAAAACAGTTCATTTTACAATACTACAAAACACATATTCGCATGTGAAGCTAGTAGGAGCAGCTATATCGTGGGACGAACAATAATAATAATAACTAATTGAATAATTAGTTAACTTGCAACAAAACAACTGAAACTTCAGGGTTTTAGAAAAATGAGTTACACTAAGTTGATGAAATTAATGAATTGATATCGCCTTTATTTAGTCAACTAATAATCATACGTATCACATATATATCACAAGGCAAAGTGAACAAATATGTAAACAACTAAAAGTGTGTGTGTGACTTACCTTGATCGTCGATTAATATATTTTCCGGTTTCAGATCACGATAAACAATATTTTGTGTATGCATATGTTTTAATCCCAGAGTGATTTCTGCAGCATAAAATCGAGCTCTGTTCTCATTAAAACCGCTTCCATTATTCATGTTATGGATGTGAAATTTGAGATCACCTCCATTCATAATTGTTAGGACTAGACACAAAGCGTCTTTAGTTTCAAATGTATACGCTAAATTAACCTGTACGAATATTAGTAAGAGATAAAAGAAAAGTAAACAAGCATATAGGTTTGTCAATCAATTAATTCGTGGAATTACTACTATATTTTTAATACCAATTTCGAATTTACGATATAATAACACGATATTGATTTATTAAGGACCTTGGTGACAACAAACCAGTCTTTGCTCTTAGTACTAATTTAAAGTCACGCAAGAAGAACAAAAATTGTATTTACCTAGCACACAATATGTATGTCACAGAACACATATTTAAGGAATCACGAACACAAACATATATCATTAAATGTAACAATGACTAATAGAATTGTGACTACTCACTCAACTACAAAATATTCATGAAAAGTATTAAATCAACTTGTTCACTTCCAAATTTCAAATAGGTAACCTCATATGTAAGTCTAGAACTGTGGAAGTAACCTCAAAGGCCAAACCTGCTGCAGTCTGAGTAGAAAGACGCTATATTTAAGATTAGAATATCTCACAAGATTGTTAGTATTCAAGCACTACTTCCCCACTGGAAAATTCGCCATATTACTCAACAACCAGGAAAATCAGAAGAACACTGTCTTTATGAACTGCTCAAAGCTATCAATAAACCTGCACAATGGAAGAAATCAGTACATATAAGGACTTACTAGACCTAAAATTCTTCAATGTGTTGTTCTTTATCCCATTCTTTCTTCATTGTATCCAAATGAATTGCTTTTAGCAGCTGCAATCATTTTTAGATTCATGGTGATTCTAGTTATCTGATTATTTTTCACCTACCCTTTTCTCAGGCATTGGACGACAATTCTCTCTGAATGGTCTTGTTTTCATCCATCTAAACCCCCATTCTGTCACATAATAAGCGTCCCTTTTATTTGCACATTTCTCTTCGTCTGTCTTTAGGGAAGACATTAAATGAGTACATAAGGGTTAAAGCACTTCTAATTTATTAAAATCCAGCTCATATCTTGTGTGAGAACTAATCGCAGCAGTATATTAATTTATGGTTGTATGATAGTCATGCATTTGTAGTTCAATGGTGGGATGCTCCACAGCCGAACAAGAAGCTCACGTTCGATTCCCAGCCGGTAGACTTTTAAACCCTGTCTAGTTTACTAGTCATTAGAAAGAGGTTGGGTGTGAGACTAGCGATCCCAATCCTTGGATTAGTTATAAATGAGATAACAATTTCAAAATACCATCCTATGAAAATTTTGTACAGTATACCAGAATATTGTTCACAAGGCTACTATAATTCATCAAGATGTATCCAGCAAAAGAAGGCACATCATGATAATTACTACAAATAATAAACGAACTAAGCTCATATTTTTCAGAAACTGTCAATCGGCTACTCCTGCTTGATATTACTGTGGCATCAAAATTAACTAAATCCCTACAGAATATCGTTAATAAAATTAAAGATTCACTACTAAAAATAAAAAGGACGAATGAAATAAAATGAGCTGACTGAAGACTGTCACTTTAGTTGTTGAATATTCCATTGAATTCATGAGTATCAGCTAGCAAGCTATATGACTATCACTATCCATAATAATACACATGAACAAGTATGACTACAACATTGGTCGGGAAGACAAAGAAATACTGCGAAGTGCAGGCTTTAAAATCTCAGAAGCACGTTATTTAAATGAAATGGAGGTCAACGGATATGTAGACAAAGACTGTATGGACACACTGTCGAGAAACCATCAGCTAACAATTAGAAACAAGTCAAACATGAAGTCTGAGAAAAAAAATCACTTAACAATACAATGAGTCATGCAGATCGAATTTCAAAAAAGATCATATGCAGTTGATTAACGTCACTAAGTACAATGAAAAAGTGCTTATGTAACCCATAATTACTCCTGGTGATGGAAGGTCCACGATCAAATAGCAGATCTCAAAGAACAGTAAATAAAATAACAGTTAATATTTTCAGGTGACAGTCAAACCTGTTGTTTAACAGATGACAACTCAAGCTACCATCCAAAGAATAAAAACTAAATTTGTCAAAAATATATCACCATAATCATTGCTTCATAAATAAGAGTGCAGTTCTCTCGTTAAAGATTTCCAGCAAACAACTATATGTTCATACGATTGGATAACACATATTTCGCGTGTGAGAAAATAGTCAAGTGTGTAAAGCGATCAGTGAATAGTTCGAAATACTTAATATCCTTCCCAAGTAAATATGCGAGATAAGAAGATACAAATCTTAACAATTTTCGATCATCCTTGTTGTGTGTTTTCACACTACTCATAACTTACAACACTATATAGCTTGTTTTGTTGGGGTATGGTCGTACTAAAATCATATAATGCATTACTGGTCTGTCATACTGGAACAAACTAACAAAACAAAAAGACACTATACTACAACTTCTGTTTAATATAAGCTACAAAACAGACCTATTCGATGTGCGGCATAGGTGAAATTAGCTTTGGTACGGTGACTGTAAATATAATCCATTTATGATTTTAATAATGTGCAATTATTTCGCATCAATCACACGAATTTGCTTAGGAACAGCTTCCCCTATAATTTCTTTTTTGGAATAATTTTGAATAAAGCCTCCCAAATAGTCACCAGTACGAAAATAGTGCCGAATTTCATTTTCACTGAAATTATTCAGGGAATAGTGATTACCAATTTTACTGTAACATATTTCATGTAACAAGGAAGGTCGAGATAATGTGGATCAGATAAATTCGAAAAGCTAATTGATAGTGATGGATCCCAGATATAATAGTAAAGCCACATATGAGTGATGTTACGCTTTGGTATATTGTATACTGCAAGCTTACAGATATTCGCTTTTTTCACGGCATTTTAAAGTCAAACATCAAGTCTAATGTCATAATAATAAATACACATTTTTCATCAAAGAATTTCCCAACAAAACGGTAATTCGTTGAAAAACTAATCCCCAGACAAGTTACAAAAAATAACGTACGACAAAGCGAGAGTTGACTCTTTGCAATGTTTCTTTTTCCATCATGGCCATATTTTCTGCACGACGTTTTTTCATGCGCTTCTTTTCCATTTTCTTGCATGCATACAACTTTCCGGTCGCTCGGACCTGGCACGCACATACTTCTCCAAAACCTCCCTTACCCAAAACACGGTACATTCGGAAAGTATGTTTGGTAACTGGAGTTCTAAAAGTTTAAGAACACAAGCATGAATCTAAGACTTTTGCTCATTCGCCAAACAAATCTCACAGAATAGAGATGTGGAGTAATGTTGAATAAACTAACTACTAATTTATCTTTCTGAAGTTTTAACAGCATATTTTTAGCCACCATTAATAATATACAACGTGAAGAACCATAAAAAAACCATATAAAGCAGCTCTACAAATTTTCGCAGGAGACTAATCCAGTACAATTGTGACCAGGCAACAAACATTTAGTTATAAAGAAGGGTTCTACCTAATTATGGATAGGTTTTGTGTGAATATGTGTAGTGAGCTATCATTCGTAGTGAATATATTTTGTCATCGCTCGCCAGAAATACCAATGCCTTGTATTTGTCGACTTTATCATGAACATCCTTTCCCAGGAAGTTTATTTCACCTTTATCCAAAATATAAGTCATATATTGGCTATAAGCAGCCCTGAAGCAACAATCCTATTGAATAACGACAGTGCCAACTTAATAGGTTGTCCTAATACTAATGGATAAGCATATAATGATGAGGAATAACACTTAACTACTAACCCACGTTAACATTTACCTAACAGCAAAGAATTAATTGCTTTAATGTGAGTTATACAATTACCTTACTCAAATTAACAATTCAATTTTGACAATAAACCATGACATTGCTTCAAATTTCTTCGTCTACAGAGCATATCAGTTCATTTGGTTAAACTCCAATAATTAAAGCGATTAGGAAACTTAGCAAAAGTCATTAACTTTGGGCAAATATAAATACAATGTTAACTGTAGTAGTGATAAAATAGGTGTAACAATAATATTAGTTATCTAGTACACATACAGGCGAGTAATTTTGATTATTTACCTTTCTTCCACAAAACAGTTGTTAGTTCTCGTACTTTCCAAATACTTTTCAACTATTTTCACTTTTGAAGTCGTCTAAGTAGGCACTCTCATTCCCTATGATTCCGTTCGTAAATGAATGATATAGCTCCCAATTTTCACTATTCATCATCACAGAACACCCTGGATTATAATAGTCAAATAACAAATGGGTACCACTTTGCTTTCAAAACAAACGAGGTGTACTCGCTGACTAGGCCTTTAGTTTCCATATTGTTCTAAATATGAGAAAAGAAGCACCTCACAAGCAAGATGTAACCACCAAAAATACAGCTGTTTATTGATGCCCTTATGGAGTCAAGTGTACACATCAAAATCAAAAGCAAAACAATCTTAAGATGGTAGATTCACGTTATGAGTGTTTCAGTAGAAATATTTTTGACAGCATATTGAAACGACTTTAGTCCATTAGGGACATTTTGGCGCATCGAAAAACAAGATATTGTATGCAAACTACCTATCGAAAAAATGTAACAAAACTTCGAAGTATCGAAAGTAAAGTGCATCAATGGAGGAATGCGACAAGTGGTGTTTTAAAAGTTGAACTAAGTCAGGAAGATGCAGATGATGTTTGACTTATCCTGGAAAGCGAACCATTTACTCCCGCCTGCTCTCCTTTGTATGAAGCTGAGACATTTGACCAAGCAAAAGCACTTGAATTATTCTAGCACAAGGCAAATCCTAAAGCAGAACGGTAGTAATCGTGGCAATGCCATGTTTAAGTAGGTATTTATATGTTGTATAACATTGTGGTTTTATTCAGAATGTAAAGACCAAAGTGACATTTTAAAGGCCAAGCAAAAAAGGGCTCTTCAATTAATGGCTCGACTTAAGAAGAATACGTTTGCATACTGGTAAGAAAACCAAATGGAAAACTGTCTTCAGGCGGCGACTTAAAAAATAAATTACACTCCCGTGAAGTGGATTCAAAAGAAATAATCTCCGGTCATATGAATAAACTTGACATATAAGACGATTCGTTCCCCCAATTTCATTCTCATTTTAAGCTGCAAACCAAAGAATGGACGTCCACGCCACTGAATTAAACAAATGCTGAACATAAAACACAGAGTGAAGCTCAGCGTCATAAACTTAATGGGATACATTTGATTTTCGTGCAGCTTTGTACACCGCTGACACACCTACGGACAAATATATATATAAGAACGGTACACAATTGATGAAACAATTCAAAAACTCAAAAATATCATACTTTTCCAACCATTTCCATTGAAGATACCGATCGAAGTAAACCGAGTCCAGGAATTCTGAGTAAGGTGAGTTTCGCAAGAAACCTTCAAGAATCCTACAAAAGTTATATATTTACATGTTACCAACCTAAGAATAGGACTAAAAAGTTCTTTGTCAGGATAAGACTCGTTAGATTCCTCTAAAATTTTCAAAATCACACTTTCGCCAAGATCCCCAAGCTGACGAAAATTTAAAACGCTCTGCAAAGAATAACACTGAAAAAAATATAGTACCCTATCTGAGAGGAAACGCTCGTAAATTCCCAAGCCAACGGCTCGGCGCTCATTTGGAATGCACACTGAGTAAGTATTCTAAAAGTAAATTTGATGTACCAAAAGTGAAAACATACTATGGAATCCACGAAATCAACAACATCCGAGAGGAAGTTGTTACTCCTACAAAACAACCAGAATAATCTTTTTCCGATAGGTTGTTGCTCAACAATGAAGTCGTAACCCAAATCTGAAAACAGCACAATATATATGGTGGTATACATTAGTACCTAAACATTTCCTGAGATGTGAACACTGTGAAATATGAGGAAAAGCCAATAGCGTTCTCCACTTTCTACTCCGACCTTTGTCTCTGTCAGCTCCACCTGATTATATATTTACTTTGCATTCAATTCTTACTTCGTTTAGCTTTTATATACACAGTATTAGCTACGATATTCTCTAACTCCATACTTCATCATTAGAAAGCGCTGTAACGCATGGCTCAAAAGTGAGGCATAATTAAGGTATCCAATAATGTAAATTCATGAAGGACACGTAGTTTCAGGTAAACAACTGGTAAGATAAGTTTCATTTATGGAAATTTTAGATTTTGAGGATTTTGGTTTTGCTTTTATGATACGCATGGAACGTTTCTCCGAAGATATCTGAACTGACAACAAATCTGTTGCTACTCAGTTATCTATGCGAGATTAAGCAAAATAATTCCCTTTTATAAAAATCACACAGACTTTTCTTAATTCAGTGTTGCTTAGGTTTACTGTTTAAGCCGTAGGAACACTGTTAAGGTGTCATGATGTCCTTTTATGTTCAGGCACCATCTCGAGTTAGCTAGTCTTTCTTCACCATCCAGCAATACTGACCCTGAGACATTCTTCATATTTGAGAATTTTGTGAGTGTTGAGATGTGCCTACAATCCTGACTTGATCTTGGATTTATAATACCACGCTGACACCTTTCAGTGTTGCTGATGTAATCAGCATAAGGGAAATGGTCCTGGTTATGTGGGACTGGGACAATAGGCAAGCGAGAGAAGTCGCCATACACGTCAATAAGCAGCTAAGACCACCAGGAAAACCCGACTGACTGAAAATGTAGACGACACCAAGTGACAACGTTATAGAAAGTCATCAGAGCTGAATTATATCCTAAATAGTGACCGTTTTCTAGTAGAAAACGTTCCTGTCAATAACGTTCTGGGATGTAGAGACCATGAGGCCACAGTGTCTGGTCTAGTACTTCATGAGATCTACGAGCATGCCACTATGTGACCTCGTCTGAATCATTGTGAGGCTGCCTGAAGGGAAATGAAAAAATGTTGTCTCTCCGTTGGGATGAATATTCAACTGGTGAACATTGAGAAATCGTAAGGTGGATTTTTAATAGTGAGCTCAAAAACAGTTTCTAAAATCATATAGAACCTCATGGTCCTTCATAATTTAGAGAGCAACGTGGCATAGTCTTCAGGCCACGTGCAAGGCTCATTGTAATCGGTAACTGCTCAGGAGGGAGACTGCTCATGAGACATACTTAGAACTCAGAAAACCAAAAAACGCGAGGGTCAGTACAAGGCCATTTCAGGCAAATACTTTAGAAAATCTCCTGGGAAAACTTAAGAACTCATGGCAGCTCACTTTAGAAAGGAGGCTCTGCCACCAAGAGGAATGCAGCTAAAGAGGGCTAGATGGTCAAAATTTTTCAGGTTCCGAAATTGCTCAAAAATTCAAACATTGCAATCTATATTTAGCACATCAGTGGAATGTGTCTATTTCAAATAATGTCCGACAAGTGATGTCGCATAGATATCTAGTCTGTTGACGAATTCCACCTCCTTTAAGTCGCTCCATATATCTCTACGTATTTCTGTGTTTAATGGCTGACAATTCACTAATTAATGTCTTTCTCCATGCGTGATCAACATGATCCTGTAGGTCATGAGATCTAATGTTGATCAAATAAGTTAAATAAATATAATAACGGTGGAACTTTGGAACTTTCGATTCTTCAAATTAAGACGAGTTTTCCGCTTGGCAAACGCACTCTGAAATTCCGGGATCCGTATACTTACAAGCCATTTCATTTTATCATCCCCTTCGCTAGAATTCCACAACCACAAATGGCTTCCTCAAATGCTTACGCACATGACTTGAGACCACGTAAATGAACATCCAGTGTGATACAGGTCGATGCATCATCAAATATCGTGATTATCTCCAGAAAGCTGTGGTGTAGAATCTGAAGACCCCGTATTCAGAAAACCTTTCGAAGTGTACTCAGTGTATACAGCTGTCGTTGTCAGTAACGGGAGAGATGTTCTATGAAGTTTCCTCGCGCGATACCAAAATAAAAACAGTTTGCTACGTTACTCATGTGAAACGAAGTCTTCTGAGTCTTGAATAGTTCAGGAGCCTTGGATTGTTGGAGCTACCATAGAGTTCTGTATGCAATCACACCCAGAACTAATATGCACTTTCTTATATGGTGCAAACGTTGGACTGAATTGATGGAAACATCATAACTGGCAAGAAACGCGATGATCATGAGTGTCGCCTGTCAGCCACACATGTTATGCAGCAGTCACTTAATTTTTCACCCCGCAGTTGATTAACGACACGCAACGACGGTGAAATAAAGTGTATTTACTCCAAGAAAAGATTATATACACAAATAGGATAGAGAGAAATAATAAGTGAACACAAACGATAGTGCTGTGGGCATAATAAAGGATAAATCCACTGACCATCAGTTTAATTATCTGAGATAAAAGTGTCGGTAGTCCATTTCCCAGACACGTTTTGGGTCCACATACGACATTCCATTGAATAACTCAACGCTTTCATAACGTTCTCCCAAATGGTCTTGGTTGTGACGCGGCTTCTAGCTCACTAATTGGGAGAAAACAGCAAGCTACACATTAACATTTATAACCTAAGCTAACTATGGCTAAGTTTCCATTTGAAAATCCATGGGCATGGCAGAGACTGCAGAGTAGGACACTGCAAAAAGATAGGAGTGATTACAAACAAGTGTGAATTGTCGCAGACAGGTCAACGACGTGGAGGAGACAGATGGACCACAAACGGTGGAGAATGTCAACTCACAAAACGATTAGCACGGTAGATTCCATAAGAGACACCTCCGGAAATGAAACCATGGCACCTTCTGACAAAGACAGAACCCCACTCAAGTTCGACTAGGCAGGCAACATGAAAGGGGGCAAGCTCACAGGGTATAATATTACGGATTAGTTGACATACTGACTAATAAAAGACCCCGGGATCTCGCTGTGTTCTCACTCACTCCCAATCATGGCGAACGCACTGCATATTCAAAGGTGAATATCAACTAGCTACACAATTAACGCGCAAATAAATAGAACTGCACACATTGAAGATAACAATAAATGTTCGTTAGAGACGATAGGTCAAGAAGAAATTCATGCCATTTGTAAAGGCACGATCAGATATGTTATAGGTTACAATCGTGAAATACCATAAATTAATACTTTCTTAAAAGTTTAAATTGTTCAATTATTGTATAAGCAATCAGAACAGGTACTTATAAATGTTAAATTGCAGACACTTTACTATGGTCACCACCAAGGCTGAGTACCAACCCAAACTTCATTCCGTTTCCTGCTGATAGTTGCGGTCAGCCAGTGAACATCGCATATTTGGGTGAGTGCTATGCTGCCACTTGATAAAAAGCTACTTCCGGAAGAGGAGAACGTTCTGGGAAACTGTAAAGTGGTATAAAATACAATTTGCGATAATGCATCTTAGAATCTGAGGGTGTTGACTTTCACAGATAGTATGATGTATGCTAACGCAAGATCTAATACTCACAACTTCTGCATTAATCGTTCCGCGTACACCAAAGGCAAAGCAAAGCACCAAGACTGATCGCCCAAACTATGAAGTATATTTTGGGACTGATTCCTTAAGCAGCTGAGGATCATGCACTAACGAACGTCACATGACGGCGTGCCAAATGGCGTGGGTACTTGACCATAAGCCTTCAGCTAAACAAGTCGACCTAAAGAGTGCGAGTCATCATCCAAGGTTCAGTGAAGAATAATATTGCTAATAATTTTGAAGAATTACCAACCTCTCCAACATCACAGAAAATACATAATAATAATATGTTCTCATATATGTACATGAGGGACGCCAATCATCAATATGATAAATTGCATATAGGATTGGTAGGCACATTTAATATTACTATGTAGGACACACCAGTACTACAGGCATGGATATGTATTATTTAGATAACATATATTTGGTTTATGGTGAAAATACACGGTTGCTGTCTTCTTTGTCTTTAGTTTGTGGGAACAATCTGCTAACTAGTCATTCAATGGAGCACATCAAGAGATATACAAATGCTATCTTCGCATGAACAAAAAACCCACGTATGTTTTGGTTGAATGGCAAATAATCGTGAAAAAAATAGACCTTGAAGTCATTCTCTCATAAAACTTTGGTATGCGCAGCATCGCACCATATTCCTGGTTAAAAAGAAAATCAGCATTAATTTTAAATAATTGATGTAATTGTATAATTTTGTCAGCATTTTCACCCCCAGTAACACTAGAAGTGCATTGTGCTCAATGCAGACTAATAATAATCCATATTTTCTTATAAATGGGTGATAACAAGATATGCATGCCATCTTTACAAGCACGACCAGTTGTTATAAATTAGAATCGGGAAGTATTATAAATTAATACTTTCTCATTTGTATAAAATTATACTCGTGGGAGAAAGTGATCGGTAATTCACGAAGCACTTGTAGGATATGGGACCAGTAATGTTTGCAGATCATTTGTCATTGAAAGTGGTCAAGATATATACGAGGGGTCACAAGTTACTTCAAGTGGTGGTATACACTTGCAAATGATAATCCTAACCATACTTCTCTACCATGCAATCTATGGGATTTTCGATGAAAATATAGCCTTGCTCAAACGCAGGTGTTGTTGTGTTTTTAATCAAAGCAACCGGACTTTAAGCAAGCAACAAATACGAACAAAGAGTAAGTTTTAGCTTTAATGTTAGTACAATGTACGAAGCTGGAAAGGCTGCTCAGGTAGCCGCAGAAATGAGGAGATATAAAATAGAAGTGTTGGGAATCTGCGAGAGCAGATGGAACGGATGCGGAAGGTGCCAACTACCAACTGGAGAGACAATAATCTACTCCGGTCACCCAGAGGACAATCACGAGCACACCGAGGGAGTAACCATCATGATGTCACCAATAGCGGCTAAAGCTCTCATGCAGTGGGAACCAATCTCCTCCAGGATAATGACAGCCAGGTTCAACTCAAAAGGAAGGAAGGTTACAATCATTCAATGCTATGAGCCTACAAACGTCTCAGAACAAGAGAAGAAGGAGGATTTCTATAGTCAACTACAAACAGTAATGGACAACGTCCCAAAGAGCGATATCAAAATCCTGATGGGTGACATGAATGCGAAACTGGGAGGAGACAATACAGGAAGAGAACTCACCATGGGTCTCGAGGCCGTCGGTGAAATGAACGACAATGGTGAACTCTTCTCAGACTTCTGCGCCTTCGATGATTTGGTTAATGGTGGCAGTGTGTTCAAACACAAGGATATACACAAGGCGACAGAGATTTCACCAGATGGACACACCAAAACCCAGATAGACTTCATTTCAATCTCAAGGAAGTGGAGACGGAGCCTACTGGACACAAGGTCGAGGAGAGGAGCAGATGTGGGTTCAGATCACTATCTAGTACAAGGGACTTTCAAGCTGAAGCTAAAAGCCTCGAGGATAGCTGGGGAT